TGGAAAAGTGGGGGTCGTCTTGTACATGGGGGCGTCTTATTGATGGAAAAATACGGTATGTATGTATGTATGTATATATATAAAAGTTGCCTAGAAATAATATGGGCAGTGTTTCTGAAATAACAAATTAAATTACATGTATGTATGACTGGGGCATTCCAAGTATTCTGAAATCCACTCTTAGATTAGGAGAAAAAATGCTGCATCCAGTAATAACAGTATTTTTATTAGGGAGGAGGACTTGCCATTTATGTCGAGCATGACTTGCATGCTATTACAAGTTGTGATTTTGGTTCACACTTTTTCCCTTACTCTTTTACATATAGTGGTGCTTAAAAGTTTTTTAACCCCTTTGAATTTTTAATATTTCTCCACAAATATAACCTAAAACATGATGTGTTCCCCACACAAGTTCTAAAACTAGGCTCACATATTTTTGGCATACCCAAATATGTAGGGTTGGATCATTTTCCTCAATAAATAATGAATAAGTATAATGGTTTTGGTTCATTTTTTTAACTGGCCTCTCTTTATCTAGTTTTAGGACTTGTGTGGAAAACAGTTCATGTTTTAGGTCATATTTATCCAGAAATATTAAAAATTCAAAAGGGTTCACAAACCTTTAAGCATCACTGTACATGTTACTTGTTAGACAGGGGTAAGCAACATGTCAGGAGCATTTGTGGCAAGCTGATCTGTTTTTTGCAGTTCACAGAAAATCCTCTGACCAGAATTGCTAAAATACATGACACGGTTTCCCACCATTTTAAAATGATAAATATATGTCAAATGTACCTTAAGTCCTAAAATAGGCTTCAAATAATGAACAAATATAGAAACCAACCCCAATTTCCTCTCCAAAACTCAAGAAAGATGGAAAATCCTGGCTTTATCCACATATACGACATGGTCTTGCCTACTTTGCATCATCGCTTGGCCAACTATAGCCTCTACCCTCCCAAAAGCAAAAGAGGGGAAACTACAGCAAAAGGAAAAAATAATTATCTTACACGTAAATTCCAGGTTTGTTCAACATATTCTCTGATTAGATTTTCCTTTAAGTCCTCAAACTGACTTGTTTTTGGTTCCACTCCTGTTGGCCGATTACATGGTTTCCTGAGTAAACACACTAGACCATCAATTTCATCTGAGTGGTAGTCAACGAGTTCTACAGGACTCCTGTGGGATTTTCCTCCAGTAATAGCATACGTGCCATTAATTTCCCTCTCAATGGTATAATGATAAACCTTACTATTATATGCCAGAGACAAAGCAAAACCACCTAGAAAGTTTCGGCTCTGTCGCAGTAGGTATAGTCCGTTGCTTAGTCCTCCTTGCAGCAGGTAGTCTTCAGCTTCTTCACGTGTGATGTTGCCAAAAAAATAGGTTAGATGGCTAACAGAATTAAAACTTGCCATTTTTCTCCCACTACTTCTGTTTGCTTGTTTTTGAAGTTCTATTACACCTGGAAAGAATGAAAAACCTGAGTTAGTGACATTTTCATATGAATGTATGCTATTTTGTACACTACTTTGATGATCTTATTGGAACCATGAGATGGAAATATATACAATGGAATCAAGATTTAAGAGATAACTGATGAATCATATCATAAACCATAAAGGGAAACTATATTTTTGTTGACTACAATACCTGATGATGCTGTGGTACAGGAGTAAGCAGTGTAGAGCTCATGGATATGTATATCACATGTCAGAAGTAAAACACGGAAGAGAAAGCATTCTGTGGCTTCTGAAATGCCTTCCAATCCCTTAATAATACCTTCACTCTTGGTCATGTGACAGATAAAATGGGGGAAGGGGCTTAGAGTGGGGGAAGGCGCCACCATGAGAGCAAATACAGATTTCAGTAGCTTAAGAATAACCTGCCAGTTTTTGCATTCTTAAGTGTCCCAACTGAATTCCATGTTTGCAATGTCAATGGACGATGTGAAATACTGCAATATTTGTGTGTCGGATTATTTTTCAATCATCTGCAATTTTGCTTATCATTCAAATGACTTAAGAAAATATAATGTGAAATTTCCTGCAGCTCTTCTGTCTTTTCTAGGAATGCATTTGGGAAAATGCTTCTAGATTTTTTTTCTTCACTGAAACTACTGGCCAGATGTGGCCCACTTCTTATCTCAATGTTTCTTCTGCCAACTTCTTATCCCACATAAATTTGCTTCAGTTTTCGGATATTTATTTTGCTAACAGCCTCCCAAGGTCCTTTATGTTCTTTTACAACATTCCATTGAATTGGAAATACTTTTTAAAAATCGTTTACACATTTTGGATCATCAAATTAATTCCCGATAGCCTGAAAATGCGAAAATAATTCTGCTTCGATAGTTTTGGTCATACTCTAAGTCAACTCAGGGGAAAGCAGCATTTGAACTAAATTGACTATCCATGTAGAATTATCTCAATAAATTATATATTTCACCATCCTTAAATTGCATTCATGTGGCTGAGGTTGAAAGAGTGGATTTTGCTTAATAGTTTACAGTACATCAGTTTTGAATCAGGGACTTCCTGACTTAGCTTTACTCACTGAAGTGTGAATTTCTTGCATATGAATGCAACCTAAGAGTTTATCTATACTGGTACATATAGCTCACACATATATACCATTGATTTACTAGACTTAGCATTATAAAATTCAATTGCTCTTTTAGTCTAAGAGCTGCTGAATAATAGAAAAACCTGTGTTTGCTTATGTACAGCTATGATTGTACCTTTGGACCATGCCTTTAAAAACTGAAACTTTTTTTTCCTCCCTCCTAATCCGGTTGATTTAAGGTTTTGCAGACTGAGGGCTCTCGTAGTATCCTTTTAAAAATTATTATTTAGCCTTACACAGGAAACCACAAGTGCTCACTTTTGATGTTTAAATATATGTGCACCTCTAGCTGAAAGCACCTAAACTGCATTTCTATTTCCTTCTGTGGCTAGTGGACATTTAATAGTCACTTAAAATCATTTTCACTATGTGTGCAAGAAAGAGTAGTAGAAGAGAAGCCCAAAAAACCTCAGGTCTAATTTCATTTTAATATGAACCTACCCAATTCATAGTTTCTGAATTAATCTATGAGCTGAATTTATTCATGATTAATGAACATTCTTAGAAATGATTCATAGAAATTTGCAGTGAGAAGGGAGGGGAAAATCAGTGTAAATGGATAGAGTAAGGTGGGGAGGGGAGGATCTGGGTTGGGTAGGATGGGGTGGGAGGAATTACACAAAAGTGTATACATTAATATACATTTATTAAAATACATTTATGAAAGAAAATGTGTAAAAATATGAGCAGACAAGACCCTTTACAAACTGAGGCTGAAATGGGACAGAATTAACATGTGCTTTTAAAATTGCGAACAACAGAGAAAACAGATTGGTCCTAAATTAGGCAATTAGTACTATTCTTTTCCACTGTCCTTGTTATAATTTTCAAACCCTCCAAACTAACACCATACCACCAAACCTTAAGTGAATTTGCAGCAGAAATATTGTATGCCTTTTTAATTAAAAGCTATATACAATCCCCTCAAATAGAATGGAGTAATAGTTAGCAATTTTCTACTAAGGTCCTGCTGGATATATTTCATCCTCCTCAAAAACTGCCCCTGCAGATTTTGGAAGTATATGCAGGTAAATACAAAGACAAAGAAAATATACAACAGAACACACATTTTAAGCAAATACAGGTAGTCCCTGGGTTAAGAACTCCCAGTTTAAGGACAACCCATAGTTAAGAATGGAGCCTATTGTAATAAAATTCAAGTTAAATACACAATGGTTCAAGTTAATTACACAATACTACTTATACAGTATTATACAATAATACTGTTCTGGCTTACATACAAATTCGACTTAAGGACAGACCTTGGGAACGGAACTTGTTCTTAAACTAGATAAAATTCAAGTTAAATACACAATGGTTCAAGTTAATTACACAATACTACTTATACAGTATTATACAATAATACTGTTCTGGCTTACATACAAATTCGACTTAAGGACAGACCTTGGGAACGGAACTTGTTCTTAAACTAGGGACTACCTGTAATTACATTTCAACTGAAAGTAAATATTATGATTAAATTAAACAATATTCTTGCACAGACATAATATCCTAGCTTGTACAAGCTAAAATAATAATAAATAATTGTTAATAATAAATAATAGTTAATTTTTTAATTAGTAGGAGTCCTATGCATATTTAACAGAAGCTGCATCAATAGAATGGGCCAAATTTCAAGTACCGAATTAAGAAAATTACTTTAGAATTTATTGAGGAAGAAAGAAACCTCTAGCTCCCAGAGTTTTTTAAAGTAAAAACTGAAAAAGAAAAAAGCGTCCTCTGTCCAAAACCAGAAGTATTTTAGTGACAGAAGAGTTAGGATTACAGTTACAGTTAGCAAAACATGTCAACCAGTAAAATAAGACAATAAGAGAAAAATCCACCAAGAATTTTAATAGACCATCTGTCTACACCCATTTGTATAAGTAATTTGTTAACACCAGCAGCCCAACACTACATGAAAAAGCCAACACTTTTCCAAATGTGTTAGCTACATTTCACTCTCCTGGAGATAATCTTTAATATTGAAAATAAGGTGCTAATTATAAAGTTTACAATATAGCAGAGGAGAGGAAACAATGGCTATGAACTTAGCGTACCAAACACCTAAACCTATAAAACAGAATGTGGAAAGCAGTATTGCCTGCAGTTTTCAAAAAAAAAAAAAAAGTATCCTAGAATCCTAGTTGGCATAAATGACCCTAGGCAAGGGTCATTTATGCCATCAAATTCTACCCCTTCCTCGCTGCAGGAATCTAGACTGAAACATCCATGACAGATGGCTGTCCATGCTCTACTTTAACACATACTGTTAAACACAGACCAACTACTTTTCTAAGTAATTGGTTGCACTGTGAATTAATAAGTAACTACTAGTAGCTTTGGTGTCACCAAGGTAGTGACACTGCTTCACACTTCAGGCTGTACAAACATACAGGCAGTCCTCATCTAATGACCACAACTGGGACTGGAATCTCAGTCGATGAGCGAAGCAGTCATTAAGTGAGATATGCACATGACTGCTTCGCTCAATGACTGCAATCCGGGCACTCCTGGTTGCAGTCACTAGCGATCTCCCAGGTTGTTAAGTGGATGGAGCAAATGAGCTGTCTGCTGAAGGATTTCAGCTCAGTGCAGAGCTGAAATCCTCCCAGCAGGCAGCTCTTTGAGAGCGAAAGGGCTGCCTGCCAGACAGTTGCAGCTCTGCATAGAGCTGAAATCTTCCCAGCAGGCAGCCCTTTTCCTCTCAAACGTTCCTAAAGCCCACTGAAGGGTTTGCCTCCCCTCCATGGACAGAGGGGAAATCCTTCCTAGGGCTGGAGAAACAGAGCTCAAATCTTCAGGATTTGAACTCCGTTCCTTCCCACCACCAAGTGGTTTCCCCTCCCCACTCAGCGGTGAGTAGAAACAGAGCTCAAATATTCAACATTTGAGCTCCATTCCTGCACACTGCCGCATCCCCTCCACTTGTAACTTTCCCTGCCAGCTTCCAATAGGGAAGCTGGCAGAGAAGATTGCAAATGGCGATTACACAATCATGGGGCCCTTGGTAACCAGTCATAAGTGCAAGCCAGTTGCCAAGCACCCAAAATGCAGCCATGTGACTGCAGGGGTGGGGTGGGAGTGGCGCGACATTTACGATGGCCAGGAGTGCTTTCTGAGGTCGTCGTAACTTCAAACCATTGTTAAATGAACAGTCGTTAAGTGAGGACTACCTTGCTCAAAAAGCAGATTAAAGCATGCATTATTAATTTGGTCAATCATACTGGATATGAGTGTTAGAAAGTATTGCCCAAGAAGGATAAGTAACTTTTTTATGGTGTAGAAATTTTTAACTATTTATCAATATGGTCTGAAATTAAAAGACCTGCACAAGTAGCTTTACACAAGCAAGCGTGCTTTGTGCTTAGTTTTCTTAAACAACTGCCCCTTTGTCAAATCTGAGAACACTTTCAAAATTTCTGATATGAGGATTTCTCATTTCATTGGAAAAATGAATTTTTTCTTTGGAAAAATGTTTTTCATATTCCTAATCCAGATCAAAGCAGCAGGATAATCTCAAAGGCCATCAAATGACAGATCTGTCATTTTCACACAATGGATTGATAACCAGAATGTACTGTATATGGACATATAAAATATTAAATGGGAATATGGGTGATGGTTCCTGACTATGTTCATTTTTTTGTGGAAGCTTACATACTCAGTCTTCCATATCTCAACCTTAAAATCTTGCCTATTTATTTCTCTATAAATACAAATATTAATTTATCTGACAACTCTATGAATAGAATGGTAAAAAGCAACAAACCAAATCTCATCAAGCACAGCATAGGAAAAGAAAACTGTCATAATTTGCATATATGTGAAAATATAGAG